TAAAGGTGCTGGAATGCAATAGCTGCTCAGATCGGCAGGGATCTTGGGGTATTCTGTGGCGCGCGCAATCTGCCTTGCGGACGCACTGAACGCGATCAGTTAGGCCCTGAAGACGCTGCGAAGAAACCTCCAAGCAATTGTCCAGGCGTTCGCCACGGCCGACCTTCGTGCTCGACGCGAGCTGTGCACTCAGCTCCCTGTGAACTGTGTGCATGAAAGATGTTTGGTTTTTCGGTTGGTGGGGCAAGGTATAGTGTATAGATGTTGACGTTGAGTGCTTTGGAAGAGTGGGTTCGAGTATTGCTCCCCTTTGGCAGCTTGCAAACCCTCCCGAGAGAGGAAGTTGCAGCCTGGGTTGCTCTGCGAGTTGCTTCATACCATTGGCCACAGGGTAGCTTGGAGCCCAACGTGCTGCGACGTGCTGGGGGCTAAAGTTTTCTGTAATTTAGACACATATAGACGATGTACGACGGCGGATTTCTGTTGTGGGTCCGACATCAATGTATGCGACGTGTCGGCTTGAGATGCCGGAGGCAGGTGAGGCCCATCATGGCGTCAATTTAGGGTGTGGGGTTTAGGGTTTAGGGATCGGCATCAAACAATCACCCATTTTGCCTATGTCCGTATTTTCAGGGTGATTTAAACGCTGACGCGAAGCCGCCTCGACAAGGGTACCAAGGTGAATTAAGGGTTCACGAGAAGTGGGGGTAGGCCCAGCCCCCAGCCCTTTCCGCCCCCAGCCCCAGCCCCCGCCCCCCCCCCGCGCCCCCGCCCCCCCAGCCCCCAGCCCCAGCCCCTAGCCCCCAGCCCCCAGCCAGCCCCACCCCTAGGGGTGCCGCAAGCTCCTGTAGTGTAGGAGACAGGAAGACAGGTGAGGGGTTAATTAGAGCAGGATGAACTCATGCAAAGGTTCCACAAGACAATGGGTGGGGGGGAGGTGGGGGGTAGGTGGCCCCACATCTCCCCTGGTCCCGGCACGTTGTCCGCATCTGGACACTGATCGGCCTGGGGGGGTACTTATTCCGCGCAAAACGAAGAAGTTCGCCTGCGCACTTGGCGGCTTGGGAGGGGGTAGGGGTGGGTACAAGTATGAAAAGTTCCCTAGACCTGGATGTAAACGCCGCAGGCCTCCGGCCTCGGCTGATTTCCATAGGGCATTATGCAAGTAAATCTTGATCCTGGCACAGCTGAAACGATCGAACAGGACCCAGTGATTAGATTCGCTACAGTAGATCACCCTTCGCCCAGCGTCGGAAGTTCTTTTTGCCACCTGCAGGCAGCACAACGAGGCACTGCGCATTCGCCTAGATCGGCTTGTCCACAAGCCTGAAGGTGATGGCCCCGCGCTCAGAGGGCTGTGCTGTGGCTGGCTCATCCGCTGCCATGCAAGCACGCAGAACTTTGCGATGTAAATTCATGGGCTCCCGTACACCAGTAGCAAAACGTTGCAACACAATCTGACATCATGCAGATCAGAAATTCAGGTAGAGAAGGCATTGAAGCTTGATGTGCCGCGTCTTCACAAAAAAACGACAGTCCACAGCATGAAGCTGTCCCTGTACGCGAAGTTCCCGTCCACGTCACTTCCTACAGCCCTGCCAGTGGGCCAGCCCAGGTGAGCCGGAGCCACCTCTGCCTGAGGAGGTGCTGTTGCACTTGGAGTGCTGGGCCACGGTTTCATAGAAGGTTCATCTCGAGTCTAACCCGTGAGCCAGCCGTTCTTTGTTTTTTTCGAGTCGCAACGTCTACGCCGGCTTTTTCGCGTGCTTGCCGAGGGTTCTAGGTCATCAAGGCCTCAGAGTCCATCTTTCTAAGCGGGAGTCCCTGGCTTCTGCAAGCCCGACCATCAACATCTGAAACCACCAGAGGCATCCAGGTCCGCCCCCGGCTAAAGCCCGCAAACCTCAAGCCTGTCCTGATGTTCAGCCTAAATTTTCACAACAGTCTGACACGCCAGGCCAAGCCGACTTCTCCAGTTCCAACGCCTGGAACCAGGAACTACGCAGTTGTTCATCATTGTTGCTGTGCCAGCTTGTGACCGGCAGAAAGTGGACGACGGGTTGCCTTTCGAGTCCCTCATGACAGAAGTGTTTTTTTCACGCCACCGGCGTGTGCACCGAGGTCGATGCCTGCAATGCAAGCGATGCAAGCTGTTTCCCACGTAGAAGGTCTTTGAGTTCATTTGGGACGGGTAGATGCGTACAGCTGTCGAGACTGCGGGAACACGAGGACAAGGAATGCTTCTGCTGAAGCATCTGCCCGACATCTTTTTGGAACCTACGCAGCCAGAAGATCTGCGCAGCGAGGGGACTTTTCCAAGACTTTTGGCATCCTGACCTCACAGGACCTGGCTGTCACAAAGATTCACAAACCAGTCGCCTGCAGCCACATGGCCTGCGCTGCCCTAAACCTTAAACCCTAAACCCTGAACCCTGAACCCTGAACCCTGAACCCTGAACCCTAAACCCTAAGCCCTAAACCCTAAACCCTAAACCCCAAACCCGAAGTCCTAAACCCTAAACCCTATACCCTTCCAGCCCTTGTGTAAGCCACTTCCAAAGCCCGTGCTTCTGGACAGTTGTGGGGTTTACGAACATACGGGACCCCGAATCTAGACCCCGACCAGTAGGATTCCCTCGTAATAAGGACCCCAATAAGCAACTTGTACCCCTAATTTCGGAAACTCCCAGTCAGATTCCTCAACAAGGCTCAGCAGCTCCAATTCTCCAAGTCTGGGATGCCAGCGTCTTGGTCCAGAATCCTCCACTCCTCCACAGGCTTCTCAGAGAGCCGATGCAAGGAAGGGCTCCCCCTTTTCTTGCGAGGCAGGTGACTGTAGCAAGACACAGATGTTCGAATTTGGGCTGTCCATCATGGATGGCGTTCAACAGTCTGAGCCTTGTCTCAACTCAGCCAAAGCCAAGAGTGGCACGGCAATCTTACGAACTCGAAGAAGGCTAGACTTTCCAAGCCTTTAGAGTCTTCAGCGCGCCACGGCGCATACTCGAGCATGAGCCCATGTGGTGTAGAGTTGCTTCGAACGTAGCAGTACAACGAGCAGAAAGGTTTTAGGATCCTGCACTTTTGTCTGCCTCGCATGTTTCACACCCTTGGGGGTGCCTTGCACAGTGCAGCGTGTGGACATGTCTCGTCTTGCGGCGTTTAGACCCAATGCCTGAGCCCAAACCTAAGCTTAACGTTAAGTATCAGCGGATGTGAGAAGGGGGGGGGGTGAGGCGTATGGAAATTTCAGATGCAATAGGTGTAGCTTTATGTATACGCATGTATGTATGTATATTTACACGTGCTGTTTTTGGCACGACCGCCTGCATGCAGTCACCAAATGGGTATTTCCAAAAAAGTTGTTTTGAATAGGGGTACCCCTTCATATACCGCAAATAGAGTAGAATCCCCGTAAAGGGACCCCCGAAAAACGGTACCCCCATTTTCGAAAACCCCCAAATCTACAAGTGACTACAGACCCCTACGGGGTTGATCACTTCCAGCAATGTCCTGATGTGGAATCACAGCGGGTTGCGATTGCTGGGTTTCGTTGGACATAAATGTGTCAAGATGGTTTTGCCTGTAGCCATCTCAACGTGTTGGCGCAACTTGGCTGAAAAAATCAGGGGATCGCACTTGCCAGTGGAACCAAGTAGCTTCAACATGCTTAAGGATTAAGAACTTTTACGTGCTTCTTGGGTACAAGCCTTGAAGACTTGTAACAACTCAGACTTCTACATGCGCAAATAGGTCAGGACCCCGCATTATTAGTGATGGCTCCGTGGTAGTTCACGAGGAGGCTACCCACCATACAGCTGCTGCACGGCCGTCATATTTTGTACGGGGCGGTGAGGTTAGCGCCTGGGAATGTCGAGCGTATCCTTGAAAACCTTAAGATTTCAGACCCAACCGTCACAACATGCTCATGAAGCAATGCATGTCTAGCCACAGTAGAAAATATTCTATGCAGATATCTCCCTTGTCACTGGTGACAAGCAGGTTGAACATGACATTTCCCGAGAATGCCCCGTTGAATCTGAGCTGGCATTCCATAGCCCAAAATCTGGATCGGCGAATTCCCTAAGGCAGTCATACCGTGGTGTTTTCGTGACGGGGGGCCCTTAATGTAATGAATCGAGCCTGAAGGAATTCTTCCAAACGCCATTGACTGCATGTTTAGTCGAAACAAAAGGGCCCCCGGCCGCAGTGCGCAACAATGCGCAACGTGTTGCAAATCCACTCTGGAGAGGCCCCAACAAGGGTCGGTACTCGAAGGTAAACCCCTAAACCCTAAACCCTAAACCCTAAACCTTAAACCCTAAACCCTAAACCCTAAACCCTAAACCCTAAACCCTAAACCCTAAACATGCAAGTGAACTCCGAGGGCCCCTCCTGACTTTGGGGCGTGCAGGCTAGCACTGCCCTTGGCATGAAGCTGCCTGCAGAAAAGTGGCTTCTTACTACGGCGATGACTTCCGAAGGTGGAGCACTCCTGAGGTACGAGGTTCCCCACTAGATGTACGAAACCTTGGGCTTCAGTTCAGGAAGCATTGTTCTTGTTGGAGGGTTCTTGGAGTCAGCGACCCAAGCAGCAAGGCACGACATGCAACTTTCTGCTTACTAAGCAGCGACATTCCCTGCCGAACACATGCTTGGGCCATGTCCAGTAAGCAGGAAGGCATGGGAAGGCTCTGCTCCGCAGAAGCGACATCGTGGGGGGTGCCATGGGATGGATACCTTAAGCAGCAAAAAGCAGGAACTCGCAGGCGCACATGGACACAGTAAATCCATGCCACGGGGACTTTCGTGTTGCTTGGACTGGTTCGGTTGGTCGTAGCAAGGAGCTGCCTCAACCTTTCAGAACGAGCAACACTTCGAGTTTGCAACCGCCCCCCCCGGAATCCTGCTGCCCCAAGTGTGCGGAAGGTTCTTGGGTACATCACATCAACACTACTCGTACCAGACAAGCACTCGAGCAGACCGGCCTCTTCCGCACGATGGCGAACGCTGCTGTCCGCCGGCGTAGGCGTGGCAAGAAGTGGGGACACTGGGAGCTCGCGCCGCCTGGGTGCGGCATATACATGCGCGACTCTGAAGCCTTACCCGTTTGCCTCGCAAAGCTGTAAATACTTTGAGAGCTGACCTTGACTTGGTTGCTCCTCCATTTGCCTGCGTTACGCGCCTGTGCTCGCAAAGGGGCCGGCGCTTGCTGGTGTGCCTTGGCCTTGGCTGCGCGCCGGCCTTTGTGGATCCTGGGGCGCTGCTGCGAGGCGCTGCTGGCGGGTCCGGCAAACCGCACCGGTTCGCACGCGCTCAACACTGTCGCAATAGGTGTGTGAAGACGGGTCGCTGCAACTCGTAAATCGGCCGCTTTGATGGGCTTGGACAAGGTCATTCATACTGTCATACATCATACATTCTTCGTCTCACTTTGGGGTACTGAAGAAACAAAAAGAGCCATTTCTCCCAATGCCCCAAATGGCAACTGGGGCCTTCTGACAGGGCCAAGCAATGACAAGCACCGTGGCACCGTGCGGAAGCCTCCAGGTAATCCCCTCCCCTAATGTTAAACACCCCTACCCCCTAATATGAAATACCCCCCCCCCCCCCCCCCTACTATAGTCACATTATAGCATATTGGGGGATTTTCATATTAGGGGGTAGGGGGGGGGGTTCGACCTTCGGGGGTCTGCGTCCGAGGCTCCGCCTCCGCGGCACTCGTAGCAGCTCTGGCTGCACCTGCCCCGGCCGCGGCAGATTGGTCGGGCATCCGGTTTAGGGTTTGGGGGTTTGGGGGTTTAGGGTTTAGGGTTTAGGGTTTAGGGTTTAGGGTTTAGGGTTTAGGGTTTAGGGGTTTAGGGGTTTAGGGTTTAGGGTTTAGGGTTTAGGGTTTTCTTTGGCGCATGGCTTGGGAGAATGCCGCAGCTAGCAGGTTTCGGGATGGTGTCGTGGACGGCAGCTGCTGCTTTTTTATTGGCGAAGCTTTGTACGCTTATCCTTGGGTGGTTCTGATTCTTGACGTTTTCGCTCATCACCTCATCTGAACACTCTGAAACATGGGTGCCACCTTTCACCTTGCACAGGGCAGGCAAGAGCATGAGGGACCCGGCATTCGGTGTGTGAAATCGTGGTGTTTAGCCTCTGGGATGGCCTGGGCATTCCTGGGTTGTACACAGGTCCCAAGCAACTGCCCAGAAAGCACCTTCGCAGCCTGGTCAGAGGGGAGTATGCGTGTTGGTATGTGTGCATGCGTTGTATTGTACTGACATCAAACGATTTCTGTTATTTCATGAGCGACATCTGTTCCTTTCCGGATGCAGGTTCAGCTTTGTTTGGGGACTGAAGACTGATGAACAGGCACAGTGTTGCCCGGACGGTAGCAAGCTGCACGTACACTTCACCCGGGCCAGTTCCCTGATGTTTGTATAGGGCACTTAGAAGCAGCTAGTTAGAGCGAAGCCGTCAAGTTTCGCAATCGTGGCAAGCGTACCTTCTTCAACCGCGCGTCGATTCACTGCGAACCCCCCGTGTTCCCTCTCAGCTAAACAGCCCAAGTGTTCGAAGCAACGTAACAACAGAGAGTGTGATGCCGTGGATGTATGTGGCACTGAACAATGTCATGCCTGGACCCTAGCAAGTTCTATGCGTGGCATTCTTGGGAACATTCTGCATTCACTACTGCGTTCTGCATTCAGCTACTGCGGCATTGACATCAAGGATAGACGCGCACGCTCGCACAAAGAGAGGGGTAGTGATACCCTCTAAACATGTCAGCACTCTTGAGAGTGATGCTTCAGACTTTCCGATGCAAAGGTTGGTATGCTAGCTGATTTCCATGCAGGTTCTGGAGCGGCAAGAGAATGAGGTGGAAGAGGACAACCTCTCGTAAAGGCTGTTCTTAAGCAGGAAGCATGCATTGAGTCTTGGATCTGGTGTTCGAAGGGAGGGGTATACAAAGATAAACTTTCGACATTTGCGCCGGTCGGGTGAGGCCATCTGTTACACAGACCGGTAGGGACACCGTTTTGAAGTTCCAAACTGTCCCAGAACTGCTTTAGGCAAGTATGCACAGGAAGCGTACTTTTGAAGCCGCAGTATGATGCATGTGTAAAGCTTGCGTTGCGAAAGCCTGTATGCTGGCCACAAGGCAATACATAGTCACAACAAAGCCATTCTCTGAAACCTTCCTAGCCCGTGTTGTGCTGCACATGCGCTTTCCATACCTTTCACGATAAGCGAAGGAGCTTCAGCAGCAGCCCTTTTCCAACATCTTCGACCGGGCCAGGCTCCTGAACCTGGAGGCTCCTTAGGGGGTCGCCGTTGACACGGAGCACGCGCCAAGTGTACGTAGCCCACAGTACGGTGTGCAAAAGCCAGAGAGCAGCGCAGAGGCGACCTTGAAGGCGGAGGAGGCCACAGTAAAAGCTGAGGAGAAGGCCACTGAGCTTTTGGATGCAAGAGCCCAAGCAACCACTCTAGAGGGTTCATGTGCAGTTTCACGTCTTGGCGAAGAGCACCGCTTGCGCTCCTTGAGCCGCCCGCAGGACGTGGAAGCCAGCGCTAGCCGTGGGCAGGCGGGGGGGAAGCCGGATCGGGCTCCGAAGCGTTCTGAGCGAGTTGACGCTGACTATGTGTCATCGACCATAGTCTCAATCTGCAGTCTCGAGGTTGAAGTGGTCCAAATATTTTCTGTTTGTAAAGAGGCGTGCAAACCATGCCCAAGAATTCTCTAAGTGTAACTGAGTCTATACATGACACAGATTGGGCCACCCACAAACATGGCAAATGGCTCATGGGTTTCCTTTGAATTTGGCCGAGTCCTTCCTCGACTGGCAGGTTTCATGTAGGTTTTCTGTTGGAAGAAGCCCTGAACTGATTCTGAGCGGTGATCTCAGGACTTCCGTAGCCAGAGCAGCGCCTTCCGCAGCGATGAGCAAAAGCTGCAGGCGCTCGGTCCATGCTCCTTGCAACTGCCATTGGCCGTGCCAGCAGTGCTTGGTTAGCGAACCACGAGCTGCAAGATGTGGAATGCTGTGCCAGCTCCTTGAACTTTTTTGGTAGGGCCTCAGCCGCCTAGCCGAGCGCCTCCAATTCAGCGACAAGGCGCTGCTGAAATTGTGTCAAGGGTTCAAAAGGTCCCTTTCTAGGGGGTCGGATGGGTTGCCTCTCATGAAGGGGCTTGGGGCCTCAGCATTTAATCTGCGGTGCAGACTCTGAATCCAACACCACATAGGAACGCTGTGACTGCCACCAAAGGACAGCGCGGAGCTCAAAGATTTGATGCGGAAACTGCCTGGCTGATACCGAGAGCAGCGACATGCAGCGACTCTGCCGGGCAAAAGAGCGAGTAGCACGGTGAGCCCAGGATCCCAACACTTCTGCAATCTTTCGGGTTTAGGGTTTAGGGTTTAGGATTTAGGGTTGAGGGCTTTTATACCATCAGCAGATCACAGTCGAGCAACAGATGATCGATTGCCGCGTTGATGTGGTCAGCGTAGCACATGGTGCACGACGCCCATGCCGCCCATGTTTTTTTGATCATGTTGTATCAAGTTTATTGGCTCAGTATCATTACATTGATATGGTGACATTTCAGCAGCCTGCACTCTGAGGGCAGAGGGACAGTCTTGGTACTGTCAGCACGAGGGTTGAGAGCCATTTGCTGCGCGTTTGTTCAGCTTGAGCAGAGTTCTGATCGTTTGCCGCAGGCGTTTCCATTTCTTTCAAGCGCAAGAGCTGCTGCAGAACTCCAAACCTCTGACAGTGACATAGGAAGTCTCTTTGTCAAAGTGTTTTTTTTCTTTTTTTTTGGGGGGGGGGGGGGGGGGGGGGGGGGGGGGGGGGGGGGGGGGGGGGGGGGGGGGTGATTCTTGTTGTCTTGACTGCATTGAAAGAAGGATGGAGGGAAGAAAGGAGGCGAGGCGGGAAAGGAAAGGAGAGGAAAGGAGAGGAAAGGAGAGGAAAGGAGAGGAAAGGACAAGGAAAGGAAAGGAAAAGGACAAGGAAAAGGACAAGGAAAAGGAAAAGGAAAGGAAAAAGAAAAGGAAAAGGAAAAGGAAAAGGAAAAGGAAAAGGAAAAGGAAAAGGAAAAGGAAAAGGAAAAGGAAAAGGAAAAGGAAAAGGAAAAGGAAAAGGAACAGGAAAAGGAAAAGGAAAAGGAAAAGAAACGGAAAGAAAACGACAGGAAAAAGAAAGGAAAAGGAAACGGAAAAGGTAACGGGAAAGGGGAAAGGGAAAAGGGAAAAGGGAAAAGGGAAAAGGGAAAAGGGAAAAGGGAAAAGGGAAAAGGGAAAAGGGAAAAGTGAAAAAGGAAACGGAAAAGGGAAAAGGGAAAGGGCAAAGGGCAAAGGGCAAAGGGAAATGGAAAGCGGAAAAGGGCAAAGGGCAAAAGGGACAAGGGAAAGGGAAAGGGGAGCAGGGAAAAGGGAAAAGGGAAGAGGGAAAAGGGAAAAGGGAAAAGGGAAAAAGGGAAGAGGGAAAAAGGGAAAAGGGAAAAGGGAAAAGGGAAAAGGGAAAAGGGAAAAGGGAAAAGGGAAAAGGGAAAAGGGAAAAGGGAAAAGGGAAAAGGGAAAAGGGAAAAGGGAAAAGGGAAAAGGGAAAAGGGAAAAGGAAACGGAAAAGGCAACGGTAAAGGAAAGGGAAAGGAAAGGAAGGAGGGACGAACGAAGGAGCATACATAACTCATCATACATGGCGAGTTCTCAAAGCCTTGTTTGCTTTTTTGAACATAAAAGCACACGAACTCTGTACCAATCAACTATATGTCTTCGTTCTGAAGCAACCCCCCCTAGCTTCGCGCCAGCACTCAGTTTGAAGAGGGTGGGTATGCCTGAACAGAAACCAAGCTAAGCTGGCAGTGCAAGCATCTTGCCCTCAAGTTAGAATTGTAACATCTGCTGCGACGTGCCAAAAAGATGATTCCATATGATGGCCAACCGCCCCGGCTCGAAAAGGGGAGGTTGGGAACACTAACCTTGTCATTTATAATATACACTCGCGCTCATCTCACACGTTTATGTTAGGTAATGTATAGGATGCAGCAGTTATTCTTCAACATTAGACTTTTGTGTTTAGCATCTACCTTCTGACATTTGGAACTTTCACCTTCTTTCTTCATACAGGATCTATACTAATGTATGAATGGCAAGATGTTCTTTTGTATTCTACACTAGGTACTAAAACAACAATTAATGCTACCCAAGCAAGAAAAAGGATTTCTTGGATACTGAAGGATTGAGGAATTCTAGAGGAAAGCAAGGTTTCCTTTTGGAGTACAACACAAACAAAGACATTTTTGCGATGGAGCGTTACTCTCAAGAAAGGAAGTAGGGATTCGTTCTCAAGCCTAGAGAAACTACAGGCTTCGTGGAAACAATCACAGCTAGAGGAGGTCTCCAAAAAAAATATGCAGCAAATAGAGGGTTTCGTATGATAGATTTCAGGGACTAGTTTTAATTCAAAGACACGGGCGCTAACACCCTTGCGACTTAGAATGCGCACGGCGCAGAAGCGAGACCGTGCGGCGCGCAGAAACTACGAGAGGGTTGTCGCGTGGGATTTGCAATGCGCACGGCGCCTAGGCGAGAGGCACAAAACCTACATACATCACAATGAGTTCCCACTGCAAAAACACCGCACTTTCTTCAAAGTCCCACGCCCAATAACAGATCCCTTACTCCTGCACTTGAGTCCTGCGACCATTGGCCTGCAACAGCTAGAGCGTGAGCACGCTTCGCCAACATGTCCATGGCGAGAAAGCAGCCGCTCGGATTAACTAGATTCAA